GCTAGGCTGAGCCGCAGGTGCAGCATGCCCACTGTCACATTCCAACCTGGTTGCCTAGAAATACTGTTGCTAGGGAGGCTCCCCTGTGATGTCCCAGACTGCCGGTTGCGTAGCCAGAAAATCTTGCATGTGAGAGAGGGTGTGACTATTTTCTCGATTGCTGACGCTTTGGGGACATTTGTGAAGGCAACAAACAAAAAAAGTTCTGATTCCGATTATTTTTACATGGCGTTCAAAAATACGGTGTGTACGGTAGGTAGGGAATGTATTTTTAATTTTTGTTGACATTTTTTTTGGGTAGGATCATTATGGAGACGTCTGCGTGTAATCAAGGGTAAAAGGTAGACATTCATGGTATTGGGTGTTTTGTTCTCATTTTCACATATAAAAATAGGGTAGGTAGGGAACCTGAAGCAGAAGTTTCTTTTGTCCTAAGATGCAGCTTCTATTTTGTTTAATATTTTTTTTTTAAAGAAAATCTGAGCTTGTACGTTACGTACAAAATACAAATAAATGATCTTCCTCAGGCCTGGAAAATGTCTTTCTTGAAGTGACATTTTTGAAGTGACAGTGACACTAGATTTGACAACACTAGCAGAAGATTGAGTTCTTTTTTATTTGTATTTCGCCTCAGGAAAATTGTTGTTTTCTTCCTAACATTTTCGTATTCCCCCCCCCAAAAAAGAATTCACAGGCAGCCTCTCAAAGAAAGAAGCCTGATTTCCCCCCGGCATGATACTATATAGGTCGTTTTTTAGACCGCTCTATGGATACGTACGTACTATACAGTCTATACTGTAGAACGTTTTCGTGAAATGTTCTGAAAACCGGTATCCACTCATCATACTCATACTGTAGTGTAGCGGCCTGTTGGTACACATGCACATGTATGAGTGCAGAATTACTCCAGGTAACAATGTTATTTCGCAGTGTTTGCTAAGGATTAAGCACAGATAAGAAGCGTTCGCCGACCTCATAAAAACGAACTACCACTGCGAGATCTGCCTGTGGTTGATTGGTAAACAAAACAACGTGTACTGCAGCAATATAACAATATAGACTTACCGCTTGACCGCAGGATCGTTTGTGGTTTTTTAATCCCCGATAATCAGCCTTCCGTAGTGGGCAGGGCTGAAACCCTTTGACGAAGAACGTGTTTACCGTTTATCGGGAATTATTAACGCTGAGCGGTACTGTACGGCAAAGGTGCTTTACAAAATTTGCGGTGCAGTTTTGTTAGGCTGGTCCTGCTTTCGGTGACCAGAAACGGGGTAGAATTAGGCCCATGTTCAGCTGTCAAGCACAGTGTGAAGAGCATCAGGCAGGTACCGGTAGTTATTTGCCACATGGTGCAATACAGTTGAATATGGTAATCGTACTGAGGTACCTTGAGAGTTCTGCTCCGGATCAGCTGTATATATGTATGTATCTTGCTGGTTACATTTCACATACACAGGGATGATAAGTTCAACAGGTCCAAAAAGAACACATCAAATGGTCAAAATGTCAAAATATACAGTTCAGACGACGGTGCAAACATGAAGGTATAAATCAGCAATAAAAAGTTGGCTCGATGGCACCATACATGTACGACATGAATTTAAAACGATTTTAATTTAAAAAGACGGAGAGTAGATTTTTAAAATGGCAGCAGCTGAACAGCGCCCTGTAGTTAGTGAATCAGTATTTGGATTGTTTGTAACATTCCGTCACCTTTGGGGGATGGGATGTCATGACATGACATGTTTCACTGTGCGCCTTGTGCAAAGTCTTTCACGCCTTGTGCAAAGTCTACAATGCCCCTGATGTGAAGACTAACCCCGCACTACACACGTGTTTGTAATGTCAAAAGTCAAAGTATCATGAAAGTTTGCTCCAGATTTCCGTAGTTTTCATCATTCTTTGTAATTCAAGGAATCACACACAGTTGTTGAAATAATTTAAACACTGTAAAACAGACCAAAATGTGTACTTCAATGGTACATCACATTAAATGAGAAGACAGTTAATTCTAACAACGAGAACTTTGTGATCTTGTGACAACTGGTAGGTTCACGTATAAGTTGCGTCATTTGGAACACACTAAAACATGAAGTTATAAGGTTTGAGGAAGTACGTCATCGTCCTTGGAAATATCACAATTAAAGTCGCCAGCTACAATGATTTCTCTACATTCACATGAGGCTCTATCTATAACACTACTGATTTTATCTACGAACTCAACAGAACTTGAAAATAGAACTTGTAAGCACAGGCTTCCTTTGCTTTCAACCCATAAACCCTTGCCATCATCTGTTTCTAGGTCATCACGGCGGATGAATGTTAAATTAGTTTGGATAGGGGCCTATACATTGCCACCCCAAACCCCTGACGGTTTCTATCTCTTCTGACAATAGAGTATTTGAGGTTCCCAACTATACGATGACATACATGGCATTAGCATAATAAACTCTGCATGGTACCTAGAGCATTGTCGTATCAATACCACATTGACTTGTCATGGTTCCGGACTATACGATGACGTATGCATTAGCACTATAAAATTTGTGAGATGTGCTCAGTATGTCGTGCACAATGTTTGCGTGCAAATCAGTGCGACTGTGCCTGTAGATTTGGTGAGAAACTTGTCTGGAAAATACACTTTTAGAAAAAATATAAAATATTAAAAAAATCGATGTGGGTGAATGAAAAACCAGCTGCACTTTGATTGAATGAATACGAGCTAGAATGGGGTTTCGAATGACGAGAACCAACACGCGAATGGTGTTCACTATTAAACAGGATTTTCATTCCCCACTTATTGCGGAGTAGATGAGGAACGTCAAGAACAAAGATAGTGGACTTACATGTAGACCACATACCACAACCACAACATGTGTTAATCTTGTGGATAAACTTAAAAAAGCATTAATTGCTATGTGGTTTTAAAAGTGGCTACACAGGCTGAATGAACCAGGCTGGGAAGCTGGACTGATTCGGTATGTACAGGTTAACCCCCCCCCCCTAAAATGTACCATTTTAGGGGGGGGGGGGAGGGGTTAATGGCCTATGTGGCATCGTTACTTTTTTGAGAGATTGAATGTGAGCATTAATAATGTCAAAATAGCAGGGGGAAAAATGAGAAATAACCACTTTTTATAGGAAATTTCATCACTGTAACACCTCCTGATTTAAAATAATTAAAGTGGTCCATGAAGTGAGACAACTTACCCAGAAGAACCCCCATCAAATTCAAGTTAAGTACAGAGTTATTATAAGCTTACCATGTGTGCTAGTATTTGGCATGCATCACACAGCAATTGGTCTGGCATGTGCAGTGAGTGATGGTCCTCATCATCAAGGTCAGGAGTTGTAAAGGACATCTTACCAGATGAGGCAAATCCAGAATCGTACACCTTTAAACAATGGTAACATATCATGTTAATATGCAATCAGTTCATTTAAACTTAATAAAAATATATCTACAGAACTACAAGGCCGATCGGGTTCAAACATTGCATGTACCGGTATACGTACTAGGCCTGTACCACTAGTGAATTTCAATAGTTGCGGTGACTATCGATAAAAAGTCATGACTACTGGTATAGTGTTTAATTGGCTGTTTCAGCAACCGGCCTAAACAGCCTTTGTTTTCGTTAAAGTTTTTATTTTTAAATTTTTTTTGGGCTGTTTCGGCAACCAGCCGAAACAGCCTTTGTTTTCGTTAAAGTTTTTATTTATTAGCTGTTTCGGTGACACACCGAAACAGCTCTTGTTTTCGATAAGATTTTTTTTTTTCTTTTTTTTTTTTTTTTTTTTTCTCCTTTTTCAGACTTTTTCTCCATAGGTTTAACACACGTTTCTTCTACCAGTCCACTTTGCCATTTTTTATAATCCGATTGATTTCAGACTTGATACATATTTAGACCACCACCCACAGATGGTCCTAGAAGAAATTTGAGATCATGACGTCATCAGGTGTCAGGTTACATCACATTAAAGATGCATTTTTCCCCATATGTTTTGTACACGTTTTAAAACACTCCACTTTGGCCTCTTCGTAAATCCGATCGATCTCAGACTTGATACATACTTAGACCACCACCCACAGATGGTTCTAGAAGAAATTTTTGATCGTGACGTCATCTGGTGTTGGGCTACGTCACATTAAAGATGCATTTTTGCCCATAGGGTTTGTACACGTTATAAAACACTCCACTTTGGCACTTTTGTAAATCCGATCGACGTCAAACTTGGTACACACTTAGACTACCACCAACAGATGGTCCTAGAAGAAATTTGTGATCGTGACGTCATCAGGTGTTGGGTTACGTCACATTAAAGATGAATTTGTCCCAATAGGGTTTGTACACGTTTTGAAACATTCTACTTTGGCACTTTCGTAAATCCGATCGACGTTAGACTTGGTACAGACTTAGACCACCACCCACAGATGGTCCTAGAAGAAATTCGTGATCGTGACATCATCAGGTGTAAGGTTACTTCACATTAAAGATGCATTTTTCCGCATATGTTTTGTACACTTTTTTTTTCAATTCATACTTTGGCACTATATGTCTGATTGACTTTTCTCTTGGCAGATGACATTCGAAGTGACTTCATCAAGTGTTCATCACGTGCACAGAGTATTTCAAATATCCGAAACAGCTTGTGTTTGTCCACAAACACATTTCTAGTTTTATTTTAATTTTTTTTCCCTTCTTTTTCAGCCAATGCCCATAGCATTTGTACACGTTTTTACAGTGGAAGGCACTTTGGGCACTAAAATCAATCCGATTGACTTTATACTCGGCACACACTTAGACCAGCATCTAACGATGTGCGCCGAACATTGACGTCATCATGACGTCATCACGTGACCCATGACGTCACAATATAGGTGCATATTTTGAAGGCCTATATCTCCATAACTACAGGTCCAATTGGGTTGAAACTTAGTATGTACCTAAACAAGGATGTGTTATAGATGAAAATATAAATGACGTCACGATGACGTCATCACGTAACATGTGACGTTATATTAAATGTGCATATTTTAAAGGCCAATATCTACAGAACTACTGGTCTGATTGGGTTGAAACTTGGTATGTACCTAAACAGGGATGTGTTATAGATGAAAATTTAAGTAACGTCACGATGACGTCATCACTTGACATGTGACGTCATATTAAATGTGCATATTTTAAAGGCCAATATCTACAGAACTACAGGTCTGATTGGGTTGAAACTTGGTATGTACCTAAACTGGGATGTGTTATAGATGAGAATTTCAGTGACGTCACGATGACGTCATCACGTGACATGTGTCCTCATATTAAAAGTGCATATTTTGACAGCCAATATCTACAGAACTACATGTCTGATTATGTTGAATGTTGGTGTATACCTAGACGGTGATGTGTTATAGATGAAAATTGATGTAACGTCATCATGATGTAACGTCATAATCACGTGACATGTGACGTCATCATTCAAAGCCCTATGAAAATGTTGTCACCTATTATATGTCACCATTTATTATAAATAGAACTACACATCCTTCCTTATACTTGAAACTTTACATGTCACATGTCACAAAAAGTTACCGAAATAGCCCTATGTTTGTCCACAAACATACTTGACATCAATCTAGTTTTTCTTCTCTTTTTCTTCTTTTTCAGCCATTCCCCATAGTATTTGTACACGTTTTTACAGTGGAAGGCACTTTGGGCACTAAAATCAATCCGATTGACATTCTATACTCGGCACACAATTAGACCAGCATCTGAAGTTGTGCCCTGAACATTGACGTCATTATGACGTCATCACGAGTCACGTGACGTAACATTATATGCGATTTTTCTATTGTGACCATTTTCTAGCAGAATTCGGCTAGATCTGACAGATTGGGCTATATCTCCAGAACTACAGGTCCGATTGGGCTGAAAGTTAGTATGTACCTGGACTGGGATGTCTTATAGATGAAAATTAACTTGACGTCATGATGACGTCATCACGTGACATATGACGTCTAACATATATTTTGAAGGCCTTTATCTCCAGAACTGCAAGTCCGATTGGGTTGAAACTTGGTATGTACCTAAACCGGGAAGTGTTATAGATGAAAAATGAAGTGACGTCACGATGAATTCATCACGTGACATGTGACGTCATATTGAAAGAGCATATTTTGAAGGCATATATCTACAGAACTGCAGGTTCCATTGGGTTGAAACTTGGTATGTACCTAGACCGGGATGTTTTATAGATGAAAATTGAAGTGACGTCACGATGATGTCATCACGTGACATGTGACGTCATTTTAAAGACGACAGCTGACGTGCATATTTTGAAGGCTAATATTTACAGAACTGTATTGGTCCTGACCACTCTACCGCACATGTTGTCCTATCAGCCTGACATGACATAAAAATACAATAACAAATTATTTTCTTTTTTGATGTGACGTCATCATGACGTCATCACGTGACATGGGACGTCATAATTCAAAGCCCTATGAGAATGAAATCGCATATTTATATGCCACCATTTAATATATACATAACCACACATCCTTCCTGGATGGGACTTATACTTGAAACTATGTCACATACATATTTCACAAAAAGTTACCGAAACAGCCCTGTGTTTGTCCACAAACATAAATCTAGTTTTTTTTTCTTCTTTTTCAGCCATTCCTCATAGCATTTGTACACGTTTTTACAGCGGAAGGCACTTTGGGCACTAAAATCAATCTGATTGACTTTATTCTCGGCACACAATTAGACCAGCATCTGAAGTTGTGCCACGAACATTGACGTCATTATGACGTCATCACGAGTCACGTGACGTAACATTATATGCGAATTTTCTATTGTGACAATTTTCTAGCAGAATTCGGCTAGATCTGACAGATTGGGCTATATCTCCAGAACTACAGGTCCGATTGGGTTGAAAGTTGGTATGTACCTGGACCGGGATTTCTTATAGATGAAAATTAACTTGACGTCATCACGTGACATATGACATCATATAAAATAAACATATTTTGAAGGCCTATATCTCAAGAACTGCAAGTCCAATTGGGTTGAAACTTGGTACATGTATGTACCTAAACCGGAAAGTGTTGAAAAATGAAGTGACGTCACAATGACGTCATCACGTGACATGTGACGTCATATTAAACGTGCATATTTTGAAGGCCAATATCTATAGAACTGCAGGTCCGATTGGGTTAAAATTTGGTATGTACCTAAGCCGGGATGTGTTATAGATGAAAATTGAAGTGATGTCACGATGACGTCATGATGGGTCACGAGACGTCACGTTAAAGATTATTAGATTTAATCTTTAAAATTACTATAAAATCAACCGTGAACGACCTGAACTTGACGTTTGCAGGAATGGATAGAATAAATCCAGGGTCTTCATTTTTTATAGTATGTGCAAAATCACGTGACCCTTCCTTCTGGTTGAAACCGGAAGTGCCTTGTAATTTAAAATTGGTGAAAGAAGTGAACTTGCTTTCAACGATGTATGCTCTGGATATGTTGTTCTTTACCATAAAATTATAGTTATACATAAAAATTGATGTGATGTCATCATGACGTCATCACGTGACATGTGACGTCATAATTCAAACCCTATGAGAATGTAATCACATAGTATATGCCACCATTTATTATAAACAGAACTACACATTCTACCTTGATGGAACTTATACTTGAACCTTTAAATGTCACACGTCACAAAAAATTACCAAAACAGCCGTGTGTTTGTCTACAAACATAAATCTAGTTTTTTTCTTGTTTTTATATCTGATGAGAAGACATAAAGGCAGTGGGGCAAATAAACAATTTGTTTGAATAAATAAATGAATAAATATAACACTAAAAATTGTCTTTTCCTCTCGACCTTTCGGGGGGGGGGGGTGTTTTTTTTTTAGTTTCCCACCTGATGATCCATTGTCATACAATGGGTATATTTTGTATATTTATGCAAAACATACACACAAACATTTATTATCAACATTAGTTTGTGGAAAGAAATTTTTAGGGATAAACATTTACCAAAACTAAACTACATGTACTAAGAGGCGTACATTTATACAACTAATACCGCTAAATGGTCAGCAAGTAAATATATTTAAGCAGCTATGGCAAATAATGATAATCATCTCATACAAAGAAAGTTTGTGTACACTCTACAATGAGTGAGAAACCGGAGAGTTGGGAGTAAAACTATATGCATTTTTGTGGCCTTAATTAATATTATATATTTCTATTAAATCTTTAGGACTTTATAGAGTTATTCCAGGCCTGAACATATTTTTTTCTTTTTCTTTTTTATTTCACTAAAAAAAAATTACTTCATATATGCGGTTACGATTGTATTTCTTTTGATGTACTTGTGACGA